TGTGAGACCGATACACTTTATGCTAAACTTCTATTCTCTAGGAAAAATGCAAGTCCATCTCATATTATAAAACATAATATATTAAAAAAAATTTTAAAAAATGAATGTTTAAAACTTATTTTATTTATTTTATTAAGATTTTGCGATTATTATATATAATATATAACTGTGCTTGTGTAACTTTTACTTAGGTTTCTTTATATTGTGTGATATTATACTTTTACCGTCTTCTTGAAACTTAATTAAAAATGATATACTATTAAAACGTATATAAATAATTATGTTGAAAGAAACTGTAATAATAATAATAATAGTAAACAAGAAATAATTAAACGTTCCTCGTGAAAAATAATAATTTACAAATATAAAATAATTCAACGTACAAAATTTGTATTAAGACAATAATATTGGTAATTTAAATGATACAATAGGTTATAACTAATAACCAATAAAAATAATAGCAATAAACAAATCAGGTTAAGTAAAAATGTTTTAAAAATGTTTTGGCTTTTGAAACGTTAAGTAAAATACGTATGAATAATTAATAATATATATAAACAATGTAAGCGTGTCATATTCATGCATGTAATATTAATACTATTAATTTTTCGTTTAACAATTAACATATATTATTATGAAAACAAAATATAACACTCAAACTTCACATAGCAGCAAACTATATCTTAGAATAATTGAAATACGTACAATAATTGATTTTAATTAAATGCATACATAATTATAACAAGGTGAAATTAGTATTTAAAATTATATTTTGTTTAAGCTTCAAGCACGTTGTTTTTCTTATACACGCGGCTTATGCTCATAATCTTATATTAATATTATAATTGCTGTACAATATATAAACAGACACACCAATATAATTTTAATGATTATTATTTTTCCAATTTAAATAATATTATGTAAATTAAACTTTGTTGAACAATGGAACAATGGAACGATTTAATAACGGTTAATTAAGTTATGATTTAAAGTAATTATACACACACACACACACACACACAAATTACATTATAATATATTATATTTGAATAATAATAAACGTCATACTCTAAATTAAAACTTTAGCTCATAAACATATTTTATAGTAAAAGTATATGTATATAATATAGTGAATCGCAAAATATTTGCATAGAGATTTATTATAAAAGTACACGTTTTGAATTTTTATCGTGAAAAAGTCGTGCGTTGCAATAACAGATGCTTTTATATTATAATATTAAAATATAATATAAATTGCAGTTCACATAAAATGTATACGAATAATGTATGACACGTAACTGCCGGCGGTGTTGTATACTAAATTATATTAATCACTATAATATAATATAGATCGTTAAATAGTAGGTAGGTATACGATAGTGTTGATTTAGTTTATAATACATGTATTTAGGTTCAGAGATTTTTATTAAAAGATTTGTTATTAATCGATATTATTTTGCCTAATAAACTGCATCGGAGTGGGCGAGTACAGAAAAGTGTGTACATAATGCAGCAAAATATTTTTATTTTTTGATTCATGAAAATGTTTAAGTCATATTTTATGTTATTACAACGTGTGTGCATTTTTTATTTTAAACATAAAATGTACCTTTACTAGTAATACAGCTGCTTAAGTTTACCCAAGTGAAATGTACCAAAATATAGTTTAAGTAGTCGACATTAAAACACAAAGTTCTACCTTGTTTGACCTTTAACTTAGATTATGTAAAGCTATATATTCATATATACTATACATCTATACGGCTGTATGCAACCTAACCCTACGCGTTTAAATTGGAAATTTTGCTATAACGCGGATCACGGATAGCAAGAAAATAAAAATTATATTTTATAGTTATGTATGATTAGATCTTTCCGTACTTTCGCTTATAATATTCCTATAAATTATTATATAATTTATAAGAATTTATTTTCGAGTATTTCATAGGTATAATTGTGTCTTACGAGAACGTTGCATCTCTCTATAATTTAATGATTACAATTAATTATTTATAACAGTGAATATAAAATGTAAATTGCATATTATATTATACTAAGTGTATGGGTATGAAATTGTAAATATAATGCACGCTTAATACGTTACCTATATTATAATTTACTCACCTTCCTTGACAAATCATATCATATTATATTATTCCTCTTTTTTTAATTTAATTTTATTATATTATACATATTGTTAATTTTTTTAATTTATATAATATGTATATTAAAATATATTATTAAAAAATTTAAAGAGTAAGATTATTGTCGTCGATTTTTAATAAAATCGAAACCAATGTAGGTGTAATGCATTTTGTAATGAACTACCTGCATAATATTTTATTTAAGATGTACGTCATGTCATGTGTGTGTATATGTATATTATATTCAAAGATAAGAAACACAACACCTACCTACATAGATATTACATAAGTTAGTTCATTATTGTGCTGTACGCACGGATGACGACTAGTGTGCAAAGCTGCAGAGTCGTAATTATTTTATTTAGTACACAAAACACAATAAACATAATATAGTTGATGGATAGGTAAAATCACATAATTTATTAACATTGGTTGTATTGCAACAGGATTATTTAACCTAATATTTAATTAACTAGTAATCTACTAAATCAAATGATAAATTCTAAAAATGTCAGAAAATTGTATTTTGATTGTGTGTAGTTATGCAGGATTAATATCCAAATTATTGATCCGTAATTGTAATTATATAGGAACCTAGAAAGATTGTATGACTATACCAATAAATATTAATGTAAGCATTTTATAACATTTCAAATTCACTCTGTTGGTTTTGTCTTGAAATATTTTATAAATACTTATTTTGTACTCGACATTCATTCATCCGGTATGGTCTAGTGGCTAGGATACCTGGCTTTCACCCAGGAGGCTCGGGTTCGATTCCCGGTACCGGAATTTAGTTTTTGTTTTTTTTTTTTTTTCATATAATTTGTTCAACATTTTTATAAACAACACTATTTTCATTAAAACTAAAATTATAGATATTAGTTAGGACTGAAAAAATAGGGTCTTTTTGTTATTAATCGAACATATTATTTAGATAAGTAATTTACTATTTTTAGTAAACCTATAACAATAATTAAATAATGGGTAAATAATTTGATTCAATAAATTGATACTTATTTGGCTGTTTAATAATAATACAATTAGAAATATATAACAATTTAATATATACAAAAGAAATACCGATAAAATAAGATGTATGATATACTCGTAAAATTAAAAAATATTTGTCCTGCAACGTCTGAAATACGATAGAATACAAAAAATAAGAACACATAAAATATATTATAACAATATTATTTATTTTTTTATCAGAGTCTGTGGTATTGTAAAAATTGTTATCCCACAAAAACATAACTATACGTGTATCCGGTTGTAGGATATAAATAAATATTGGATAAAATATATTATAATAACGAGTGAACATAATAAATATTATTTGATAAAGGATTTCCCAGACCTAAAAAAAAAAAAAATCAAATGATTTAACTTCTGTGTATACTATTAGAATATACGTAATATTTATCATAGAATGGCCTGCTAGGATTTTTTACACGGGAGATGTGTAAAGAAACTAGTAGTTACCCCTCCCCCCACACTTTGTGGTATTTTAAAAATTGTTGTTAGTATTTTTGTTGTTAAGTCGCTTATTGTAACTTTTGCATAGTAACATATTCTTAAGGTTAATTATTAATTTATAATTATTATTTTTATAAGGTTAATATTTATTATATTATTCGATATACTCTTACATTATTCAATACATTTAAGTAAAATAAAATATATTATTAATAAGTATTAAGTAACGATTACAATTTAATGAATGTTAATAATGTTTTATTGTTTTCATATGTGATTATGGTTATCTATTTATAAAGATAAATGTATATACTCTTATAATAAACAATTAAAAATAACATGTAAAGACTTAGTTTGCGACCCTGTAGCATTATTTAACACCAACGAATATGCTAAATAATACAGGAATCAATGCAATGTACTTGCGGAACTATACATTTTTTTATTTTTAAAAATTATAACTAATACATTAGGTTGGATTAGGTTAGGTTTAAATAATGTTTTGCTGTATATGTGTAACAGTGGTTATTTGTAAAGTAATTATTTAACAATTTTGACGTTCCTGAAATGTCCTAATCCTAATTGTATCCAAGCTATTATTCAGACTTCTTGATGCATAGAAAAAAAATCAAGTATTAAGAGGAGACCATATGTTCATAAAATAAATTGTTTGTTAAAAATTATTTCACGCGAGAAACAATTATTACCATACAGTGAAAAAACTTAATTGCGCCATAAAAAGAGGAAAACTTTGACCATACTATATATTGTTTTTATTTTATTTTTCGTTATAGATAATACGAAAAAAGTTATATAATTATGTTAAAACACGATATACTTAGGTAAATCATGTTTTTCAAACTTAAATAACTTTTTATTTATACGCAGTAGATCGAAAAAAATTAAAACGATTGAAGTTCTCTTGTCGTTACACTCTGCCGCGTACGAAATTGTTTTTCTACATTGTAATTTCGTAATAACACAACACCATTAGCTACGGTACTGTTATAATAGTATATAACTATTTTGAGTTATTGTTTTGATTAGTATTTAAATATAATATACATATTATATTAGACAAACTTACTAACAATAATAATATAAGGCGCATCATAAAAAACGGATGGATTTTAAAAAGCGAGATTAAATCAAAAAAAAAAAAAACGTATCGAACGTATGTCTCTACTGTGAACGCATTACGCGTACGACGATACGATAACTGAAAATGTTTCGGTCCCCAACACGACGGCGGTGACGAGCCCGTCCCTTTGTCGTCTAAAAACATGAAATAATCGACGAGTAACGTAATGACCAACTATAGATCCGTTTATTATGGCGTACCCCGGTCCCAGATAATATTACGCTGCAGTCACTCACCCTCGGGGCGTGCCGCGGGTCCGAGTAATTGTTGCCGGTCACGTTCACCAACGTGGTGACCAATCCGGCCACCCTGACGGCCTCCACGTTGGCCTTGGTCAGGTCCCTGTGCAGCTTGCGCAAGTGGAACAGCGTGAGCAGCACGCACAGCAGGTTGATGATTATCCACAGGGCGTTGAGTATGTAGTGCCGGAACGGGCCGTGCACGAGCGGACAGCCCGGCTTGTCCCTGATCACCTCGGCGCCGGCGGCCAGTGCGCCGCTCATGAACGTCGGGCCCAGGTTGATGGTGATGGCCGCGAACCATATCATGAACGTGCCGAACACGACGCACTGCGGCGAGTCCAGCAACAGCGGCACCGAAGACACCTGCGGCGAAAAATTTCACGTCGTTACATACGAGTTGTGCACGCCAATCGAACTCGACGACTACGCAACGCGTCAACTATTAACGGACGATATCCTCGCTCGTATTCCGTCGGTTTCTTCTCCGCAGATTTCTATACAAATAAGACGTGATATTTTTTGTTGTCGGTCTTACGACTTTAATAAGTGCCTATGGGTTATAGCTCGTCACGTTTGTAAGTCAATAACAACGTGACAATTATTTAGAACGGTTTTTAAATTCGATTTGAGATTTGATTGATTTGAATAACGAATAGAATCGAAGACGGGAATTTGATCGAATTCGAGTTTTTTAAAGGTAAGTTTAATCTAATATTAAAATCGACGAAACTGTAAAGCGAAATGTGGAACGTAAAATATATGACCGTAGTAATGGAGTATATTATTTTAAATGGGTATGTGTGTAGTAGCGACATATCGTTCTCATGTAGTTACTTAATTCCAATACTCGGATTAGTTTAAAAAATCATTTAAAAAATACTTTTATAATCGTATTTAAATACAATTACATCCATTTAAAAAATAATTAAAATGTAATTTCTCAAATGTTAAAAAAAAAATGTATTTAACACAATTACAAATACTTTACATTTATATCAAATATATATTTTTTTAATGTTCTTATTTGATTGTAAAAGACAGAAAAAAAAATTATCTGCATAGTGATTAATAATTTAAAATTGTAATGTTACATTAAGTAACATTATAATTTAGAAGTTTGTAATACTTGTACTATATATAGACTCGTAATATTTTAATATTACCTAGTTAAATTATAAACGGTTGTTAATTAAATATAAAATAACTAATGAATGATTTGTTTTAATAAAATTAAGAATAACATTATGTAATGATTATCAAAAACTAATAAAAAATGTGACAGATAATTTCTTGAATATTTTGAAAACTACTTACGTAAATTTATTTTATTTTCAAATACAAATATGTTCAATACAGTATGAAAATAATTTCCAAATATTTAATTTAAAAAGTATTTAAATACATTAACTCAAATATATTACAAGACTGATTTATGAGCTGTTATTATACTACATTTTTGCAGATATTACTTCTATCTAATATAGATACACCGATACATGACGTATTTACGTTGTCAATCACAATAAAACCCTAGCCGTGACATAACCGAGTTAGATAAACTCGATTTGAACAATAATGTTACATCCGCTCAATGTTTGTTACTTCATAATTGTAAATGAAAAGTTGTGTTTTAAATCAACTCGGGGGCCTATTTCAAACATGATAAAACTGTAATTAACTAAATGATTGATTTTTTAACGAGAAATTAAAACAAATAAAAAATAAAATCATACAATAAAAGCATCTTATAATATTATGTGTAAGACTCCTTTGACTAAACAATCCACGTATTATATAACAACAGTAGGGCTTTGACCATAAGATATTTGCATAGGTATCTACGACAACTACAGTAGCTGCTAATGATTACTTATGTATTGTGTGGAATTGTGGAATAGATACTTCGTTACCTCGTCTAATTTTGTAGGTCATTAGGGGTAAATGTTGTATGCGTATAATATATATATATATATACGGGAAATCAAATTTCGTTCGAATTCAAAATATTTGCGTACAATTTATGTAAATTAAATTAAAAACGCGCTCGATTAAAACCTGCTACCTGCACACATATATTATGTTATAAAGGTAGATATATAGTATAAGATGTTTATATTAAGTATAAAACAGCATTATGTTTTAATTGAAACAATGGTATATACATAGTTTAAATTGTCTATTTTGAGCGTATAAGATTTCTAATTACTTGATGACCCGAAGGGTTGTTAAGTTATAACAATGTTTGGAATAATAATTATTATTCACCTGGGGATAGATATTGCTCGACACAACTTTCCGGCTTAACACGAACCCGCTCGTTACACAGGCGCACTCGGCTAAAACTCTATTGTATCTATATAGCTTACTGTATTTGTTTGATGTTATTATGTTATTAATAAAATATATTGTTTATAATGATATTAGCAGAGCTCGTATCTATAAATATCAACGGAGTGATCCGGTTCACTGGCCGCACTCATTTTCAATGTTCGTGTTTGTGGTTTTAAACAATTATTTTTAATGCATTTATAAATTTTAATAATAGATTTCTACAAAATAAAAATATTTTATAATAATTAATACTAAATCAAATTTTACCTGTAAAAATAAAAATACAATGATGGTAGTCTTTCATTAAAACTATAAAGAAACCTTATTATTTATTTTTATTATTCATTTAATTGTTTAATTGTTATACTTAATTAAGGTTTTACAATAGTTTTTTAAATGTATTAATTAATTTAAAATTAAAAAAAAAACATTTTTTTTTTTTTTTTTTTTATAATTATGATGAATTTTATGAACATTATAAAATATGTTAATATACATAATTATAAAAAAACGTATATTTGCCATAAAGACATGAAAGAAACATATTTAGGGAGGCGTGATTTTAATCGATTTTTTTTTTTTTTGTTTTTTTTTTCTAATTATAATACTTCTTTAGTTAAGTTGAATCTTGAATGACATTTTTTGACTTGGTATTTAATCCAAATGACAAGAATAGTAGTTAGTGTCATTGTGGATTTTTTTCTCAGGGATAAGGCTCATATACTTTTATAGTATTCTTTGAAATTAATTTTATATTTTCTGTAGATTTTAATTTTTGGTTTGGAATATGGCAGCAGCTGACACTGGACACATGTTTTTTAGGGTTTTTTTTATAATAATTGGCGTATAAAATGTAATAGTGAGCATTTAATTCACAGTTTCCGGCTGTGTAGTTCATTAGAAGCTAAAAAATACAGCATTTTTATTCGTATTTTTTTTTTACCTGTATTTTATTGGTTACTTTTCCATCAAGGAAAATGTATTATTACATAATATATAGTTATAAATAATTGATTAAAAATATAGATTTTTTTTTTTTGAAATCTTGTATCATAAAAATTAACATAGAAAATCAGTGTAGCCAATTAAACACATTACCTCGCGTTAAATATATTATACACTAATGCACTTAAGTTAATAAAAATTAAATTACCATAAGTCTAAAAACGTATTACGTAGGTACCTATTTTTTTTTTTTCATCGAAACTCACGTATTAGTATTTTTGATTCTATAAGCAAAACGAGGTTATGATAGGGTATTGGATATATTTTACAATCACTTTTATTATTATTGAATCTTTTGTTAGCACTTTGTGGGATGAAAAAGTGTTCAAAAAATAAAAAACCACGTAGAGCACCTCTGTGAATAGAAAATCGGGAATAGATAGCATTTCAAAGAGATTCTTTTACGCAAATAGTTCTACTTTAATAAGCAGTAATCGTATAAGGAAAAACTATAGATCATATCGATAACCATTGAAGGAATGTGAATCACAATTCATTAAGAATATGTTTAATGTTCTACTAAAATAATGCATATAATGTTAATTTATTGAAATTATATACTAAAACACACCATACTATCCTAAACCGAGTTGACCGAAGCGAGACGAGTTTCTAGCATCCGACGTCTGTATCCGGTCTGTTTTTATGCTATTTATTTATTTTTTATATGTTTTTAGTCAGCAAACCATATTTTTAGTGATGTATTTTTTCCCATTAAAGTATTTCTCTTTTTATTTATTTATTATTTTTTGTTTATTAAATTCAAAATATAAGTCAAGTATTTAAAACAGGAAAAAATCTATTGTACGAAAATTATATTATTAGCAATATCTATTTCAAATATTATAGTATAATATAAAATTTTATCATTAATGATTTGTAAACATAAATCATATAGTTAACTATAATATTATAGGTGCTATAAATAGAGTAAGTCTCCTCAGTGGTCATAATAACGGACAATATGAATACATGATATATATGTGTATATAAATATATAATGTTGAAGCTTTTATGTTTTAAATCATTTCCCCTTTGGATAATGTAATAATTGTACAAACACAAATATATGAAATTATCCAATCGACAATTTTTCGATACTTTGTAGTTCGATTATTATATTTTAGATTATAAGCAAAGTCATGAATGTATTTACTTTATTTTTTATTTTTTTTTTAATTACCTACGTTATGTTAATGATTTTATTGTGTCTGTCTTCATATTTGGGATCATAAAAAATGACTTGATTCATTAGTTTTGATGGTGATTGCTAGTAGTAAATATTATGGTTAATACTTTAGAAAAGAAAGAGTTGAGAGTAGAAAATTATCGGTGATTTTTAAAATAATGGAAAAAAAACTAGAGAAAAAAAAAATAAGAAAATATATTAATTTTTTTATGTTTGATACCAACTTGAAATTCTTACTCTTTTTTAAAAATAATTTGAAAAATATATACACGATAACTTATAAATTTATTTCACACTAGTTTAAATATATTAAGGAAACATTTTCATTATAACTAATTAGTTACCATTGAATACTTGACTATTTTAAGTTCAAATAATGTTTTCAAAACTGGATAAAGATAAAAAAAAAAAAAAAATAATACAAAATAACAATAACTTACAATTTTCTTTTTACAAAATATGTAGTTATGTACTTAATTTTTTTGAAATTTTCTGCCGTTATGTTTATAATTACTTATCATTAATTCTTTACATTATGGGTTTTTAAAATATTTTAACTAATTTTAAGCTATTTACAATAATTATTATTTATTATGAATTTATTTACACTGTTTTATAATATGCTACTATTATATTATATTATGCCATTATCTGCAGTATTGATTTATTTTTTATTTGTCTTATAATTCAATAAGAATAACAATTTGTAATACCTATAATTGTTATAGCAAGTATTATATAATTTAATATATTTGATGTTTTTTATGTAAAAAGTTATTTAACTTACTGTATTATCAATAAAAATAAATACTAATAAGTAATACTTGATTATAACATATATATTATGTATAGAATAAGATGCTGATGCAATGTATCTGTTTAGAATCGTTTTTCGTAAGGAAATCATTTATTGATGAGTTTAAATTTTACACACAAATTTATTGACGTAATCCATAAGAAAGTAAAATCAAAACTTACTAATTACTATACGAAAGAACGACTTCCCTGGTTTTTTAATTTTTCATTTAAGGATATCCAAATGTCGGAATTCGGTTAGTAAACCGCATCATCAGTCAGCACATTCGTTTATTTAACAGTTATTGTATGCTCATCGTCTTTTTTTCACTTATGTCCAACGAATAGTTGGTATTGGCGTTTTCTAAATTTCTAAATTTTTTTTTTGTACTATTGTCACCAATAGTATGCTGCACTGCAGACTGTTTGTAATATTCGATTGGATTAAACTCACCTGATAGCCGTCTTCTTCATCATCCTCCGGGAACACTGGCGAATCGTTAAGGACGATGGTCAACATATTTATCGTGGATACGGTAACCAGTAATAGGAATGCGGTCTCCACCAAGCTACATTTTTTCACTGGCACACAATAGAGAAGACTGTGCGCCAACGGTATCAATATGGCCGCCCTTGCGCAATCCACCATTGCCTGATGGAATAATAGTCCTTGCGACCACCTGTAAAACGATAGAATAACCTTTGTTATATAATCAATGTGTAAACTGTGGTGCAATATATACAGGTAATATTGCACAGGGTTATAAAATGTCATGTCTTACATACATACTAGATATTAGAAATGCTATATATTAACTGATGTTTAGTCATGAAAAAGTTTTAAGATTATGTTATTCTAGCGTCTTTTGTTTCTTAAACTTACTCACCATAGGCGGAGCTTGATAAATTTAGTTGAGGGGGCTCAAGCCCTAGATTATTTAAAGAAAATAATTATTAATAACTTTCTATTTGCTTAAATATACCTTGTATTTGTTTTTAAAAACAAAAAAAATAAATTTTAAAAATAAAAACCATTCAGTGTTCAGTGTGTTGCAGTTAATTATATATCAATATAAATATGAACAAATAAACTACAATTTATTGATGTATTGCAGAGTATTTCAACATTACTACAAATACAAAAATAAACAGTAAAATAAAAAAATAACTTATGTAAAAGAAATAACTAACTGTTTTATTAAATAATATTATACATTTTAGATTTAAAAAAAAAAAGATTCCAATTTTGATCATGATAAAATAAGAATTTAAAAAATAAATATAAATGAGTAATGGACCATAAATTACTTTAAAATGTTAAATAGTTAATTGAATTCTTCTTGAACCACATTTGGCAAAGTCTTCAAGAATCTGTTTTGATTCAATTGATGTCTTTACTAATTCATTTTCTATGTGTATTATTGCCAAATTGCTAAATCTATTTTGAATCATAGTAGTCCTTAACCAATTTTTAATCCTTCTCATAGCTGAGAAGGATCGCTCACATGAAGCTGAGCTTACTGGTATACTTAGTGCCACTTGTAACAAATTATGTAAATTAGGATATAGTTCTAATGTAACTGTTGAAAACAAATCTTGAATAGTCCAATTTTTGATTTTGGAATTTAAATAATTATTTACAATCATCATTTCAGCTTTTAATATATCTTTTCTTATCTTTAAGTTATCACTATAATATTCAATGAATTCTAATGAACCATCAAAATCAAGCATAAAAAAGTTATCAATTGATTTTGCCAATTTTAGGCTTTCATCAGAAAACCTAGTTTTCATTCTATTAGTGATATTATCAATAATTGTATTATAAACATCAATTTTCCAATATTTTTCAATTGTTAAATTCTCTTCATGAGCTCCAATTGTAGAAGTTACAAGAGAACTTTTTAAATATTGATTCTCAACAGGTTTCCTTTTTTTTGAAAATTCTTCATAGTTCAAACAAACACCAAACTTTCTTGAAAAGTTAGTGATATCATCCCACAATAGTTTAAAATTCTTATCAGACCTTTTTTCTTGTAAAGTTTGTATTACACCATTAATTGCTGAAGTTGCTTGGCCTAATGTTATATCTTTTTTTAGTAATGTTTGACTTAATAGATCAATAGTTAATAAAATGTCATGAAATACAAATAAATTAAAAATAAATTGTGCTTTTTTTATTCCCTTTAAAATACCAACAGCTTCAACAGCATATTTATTTTTATTATTATTTATTTCTTCTTCTAATGCATTTATTATTGATTGATAATTAATTTTAACGTTATGGCAATTTTTGTACCTACATGCCCATCTAGTAGTACTTAGCTGTGTAAGTTCATGTGGTTTTAACCCCAATTTTTTTTGCATTTGAATAAATGTACTGTGGCTGGATGGTTGAGAAAAATGAATATAAAGCATTTCTAATAAATTAAAAAAAGTTATTGAACTTCTTATATGTTTACAAGTGTCAGTAACCACCAAGGCTAGTTTATGTGCTGCACAATGAAAGTATACAGCAGTTGGATATTTTTCTCTAATCTTAGCTTGTAGTCCTCCTACAGCGCCTGACATCACGCTAGCACCGTCATATGTTTGTGCAACAATGGGTATGTCAGCTATTTCTAATTGTTTTAGTTCATTTATAATAATATTTTTCAAACTTTCTGCATCCCTTGACTGAGAGCAATCAATAAATTTTATAAAACGTTCACATACTTCAAATCCATTACAATATCTCACACACAAACTCAATTGTTCTTCTTTAAATGAACGTGCCTCATCACATATTAATGAATACTTTCCACATCTTCTAATTTCATTTGTTATGACTTTTATAGTTGAATTGGATATAATATTGAGAATTTCATTTTGGATATCATGGCTTGTATATGATAAGTATGTATGATATTTTATTCTAAAATTACTGTCAAACTTACAAAATAGTTCACATAATTCTAAAAAATTTCCTTTGTTAGAACTTTCTTGTTTTTCATTGTGACCTCTAAAGGCCAGCCCCTGTCTAGCTAAGTACAAAATAATTTCAATAATATTTTGTATATATAACTGATTATTTAAAATGTCTGTTTTAAATTGATCTGAAAGTTGAGTATGAACATTACCATGGATTTTTGATTGTTTATATTGATTGTATTTTTCTATGCTACTACAATGACTTTTGCAGTTAGAATGTTTTTCTAATTTTTCACTTAATTTTTTTCCAATTATTAAAACCAATTTTTTTAAAAATATCTTCTGATGTATTTAAGTTATCAAACTGTCTACATACAAAACAATATATAGAGTCTTGGTGAACACTATATTCAACCCAAAAATATTTTTCATAATATTTACAAGAAAATGAACGATTCTGTTTGCCTATTTTTTTTAATGGATAAGATAAAATTGGCTGTTTTGGGCCAGATTCTAAACTTCCTAAATCTATTACTGGATTACTACTTATTTGCTTATTAAATTCAATACAATTACTTTCATTTTCAGAATTATTTAAATATAAAAAACTGTTACCGGGATTGTTTTCTGGATTTTCTATTGAATCATTTTGATTATTTGTTGAAATACTTTTTGAAGTATTGGTGAAAAATGTTCTAATATCGCCAAAACGTTTCATGTTATAAGTTATAACTAGTGAAATACTGAAGTTAAAAACAATACAAATGTACTCACGCAGTCACGTATTCACTAATACTGAAGTTAAAACTAAATAATAATATTATGTAAACATAAACAATTATAAATTGATTATCTGCAATATTTATAGCAATGTTTAATAATAATAATAATAATAATAGCTTATGGGTAATGTGTACGTATCAACATCAACTATAAATAGCCTTGCGTTGCGTCCCTGTCGTTGTGTGATGTGTATAGTGTATGAGTGAGTAGCACCATGCGACAAGACGAGTAAGACGACGCAACTCAATAATCTTACGAATTTTAATTAATATTATAAACATAACAAGATAACAAGATACATTACATTTTAAATCACACCATAGACTAAGCACATATATATACTGTAATATATTTAAATACTATTGTATGTTATTAAAATCATTGTGTAAATTAAGATAATTTTCCACACAACTAACCAGGTAGTTATTCACTCGTCAGATCTATGACGTTACGTCGCTAGTATATCTCATTATCTAGTTGAATAATTATTTTTCATAATTCCGGATTTTTACATAAACGTTTTTCATTATTTTGGTTACAATATCAAAACAATAAACGTAAAAAAAATAGTGTTGATATGCCCTTTAAATAGTATATTTGTGAATCATAATACAAAATATTAGGTACATAAATACGGTAAATATTTGGGAGGGCTAATTGAAAACTTAGGGGGGCTTAGCTCCCCCAAGCCCCCTTCTAGCTCCGCCTATGTTACTCACTTAGAATAAAAATTAATAGATTCAAATTAATTTTAAGGTTAACTTAAATAATAAAAATTAAAGAAAATAATATTTCCCACTTTTAAGCTATTTTTCAAAAATAAGGTTTGAAAAATAAAACTTTTTTAAAATTTTTAAATAATAATTAACTTTTAAATTAAACTTTAAGCGTTATAAATTAATAATTGAAATAATGAAAAAATTATTATGTTTAGTTTTGGTTATTTGTATCGATGTCTTAAAATAATTTTGTATCTATTTACTCTCAATCTAAGTAAGCAAAAGTGTTGTTACGATTTGTAATGTAAACATTTATCGTAAAATGCTGTTACTAACGAAACTATAAAAAGTAGATTTGGGCGACAGCAGTCTTTCACTTTATAAAACATCCATATATAGATAATTTTGAAAAAAAAAGTATTAGTATACATTATACCAAATTATCAACAAGTTTGTAAGATCTTAATTATTGTTTGCATATTTTAATATCTATATAGAGTATGAAGTAATAATAGATAATACTGTTGTATATTTATCATATAAGACATTTAATATAATTTTATTATATTGATGTTTATCAATTCTAATTAGTTTGATAACCATTTTCAAACTTATTGAACACTCTGTGTAGAATATTTGTTGTGACTCTTGGCAAAAATTAAAACAATAAAATAAAACGATTAAAGTCAAATATAAAATACAATATATGAAATTAATTTTAAAAATAGATGAAGAATTTACAAGAACGACCCGATAGGCGATAATCAATAAACATAAAAACAAATTTTATTCTTGCACAAAATAAAAATAAAACATATGAACGTAACAGAAAAAAACATTTTCAGAGAATTTACCTTCAAACAATTTATTTCTGTAACAAAAATGTAATAAATATATTTATATATTTTTTTTTTATTAGTAAATAATATGAAAATATATCTAATATTAATATTAATGTTAAACATAATATGATCATAAATAGTTATATGCCAAAAAGTAAGAAAAGTTTGATATTTATTTCTTCATAATGCAAAATTATTAGGTTATATCATATTTACGAAATGTTTTCATTATTACATAAATACTTTTTTTTAAATATGGAAATTATACATCTGAAAGTTTATTAAACACTTTTATATATAGCAATACATTTTTATTTTTTTAATAATGACATTTGTTTTTTACTACGCATAGATATTTTATATTCATATCGCCTTTATATTAATTTAATTAAGTTCTTTAATATAAGAAATCTATTAAAATTTGAA